GGATTTAAAAGGGACAGAATTAAAAACCATAATCAGTTACACATTAAAAAACAAGTCAACCAGAGGCTAACTAAAATACAATTGAATAAAAGCAAGTCAACATAAAAACTAAATTTTAAAAAAGCGCTCCCACCCCCCTTAACTCCTAAGAAGGCATTTAGGGACTCAGTCCTGATGGTTCAAAGCCTGCCTGCAAAGGCGGGTCACCAGCCGTCAGCAGAAGGATAAGAGAGATTTTTTGGGGGGGAGGGGGTGAAGCCTGATCTCCCAAGGGAGAACAAAGTAATAATAAAAAGTTAACCTTTAAACACTAGCTTTCATGGACAAGTCCACTTCATCAGACCTAAATGTTTTGTTTCCACCTATCATCTTTGCACAGACAAACATGGCCGCCCCTTCCACAAAGGGAGAGCCTTCCACCACCTGGGAGCTGCCCCCGAGAAGGCTCCGTCTCTCGGGTCCCCATCCGCCGTGGTGCCTGCGCTGACCGTGGGACTGAGAGGAGGGCCTCCGCGGATGATCTTAAAATGCCGAGAAGGCTCATCCTGGGGAGATGCAGTCCTTCAGGTAGCCCTGGACCCAAATGTTGTAGCCACTTAATAGCCAGCATCTGGAAGATATTTGGCCATCATAGGGACCGACCTGACCAAGTGGTTGGGAGAAAGGAGCACCCTTGTGGCCCCTCGGGGGTAGAAAGGCTTTTGTTGAAGCCAGGGCTTTTCCGGATGGAATCATGTACAGTTTTGTAGTGGGTTAAGAGTCAATAAACTTGTACACTTTCATAAAAAATTATCAAAATTAAAACTTTCATACATTAGTCCCATCATGAGAAGGCAGGATTCTCTGGAAAAGACAATTGTGTTGGGGAAGGTGGAAGACAGAAGGGAAAGAGGAGGACCAAATACGAGGTTTATCCCTCCCTCCTTTCCCCGTCTCTGTTCCTCTGTCCTAGTAAGGCTTGGTTATCCCTCCCTTCTTCCCCATCTCTCTGTTCCTCTGCCCCAGTAAGGCTTGGTTATCCCTCCCTCCTTCCCCATTTCTTTGTTCCTGTACCACGATAAGGCTTCGCTATCCCTCCCTCTTTCCCCATCTCTCTGTTCCTCTGCCCTGGTAAGGCTTGGTTATCCCTCCTTCCCCATCTCTCTGTTCCTCTGCCCCATAAGGCTTGGTTATCCCTCCCTTCTTCCCCATCTCTCTGTTCCTCTGCCCCAGTAAGGCTTGGTTATCCCTCCCTCCTTCCCCATTTCTTTGTTCCTGTACCACGATAAGGCTTCGCTATCCCTCCCTCTTTCCCCATCTCTCTGTTCCTCTGCCCTGGTAAGGCTTGGTTATCCCTCCTTCCCCATCTCTCTGTTCCTCTGCCCCATAAGGCTTGGTTATCCCTCCCTTCTTCCCCATCTCTCTGTTCCTCTGCCCCAGTAAGGCTTGGTTATCCCTCCCTCCTTCCCCATTTCTTTGTTCCTGTACCACGATAAGGCTTCGCTATCCCTCCCTCTTTCCCCATCTCTCTGTTCCTCTGCCCTGGTAAGGCTTGGTTATCCCTCCTTCCCCATCTCTCTGTTCCTCTGCCCCATAAGGCTTGGTTATCCCTCCCTTCTTCCCCATCTCTCTGTTTCTCTGCCCCGGTAAGGCTTGGTTATCCCTCCCTCTTTCCCTGTCTTCATTCCTCCCCTGCTCTCTTCCCTTTCTTGATTGCAGCCCCTGATGAAACAGGACAGCTTGGACATCTACAACGAGCGAGACCCTTTCAAGAACGACGACGCTGGGGTGGTGGATGAGGAGGAACCGGACGACCTCGAGAACAGCCTCGAAGGAGAACTGGACCTCCTGGAGCGGGTTCCGGCTGTCCAGGCCGTCTCCGTCCCGTCCCCGCCCGCCGAGAGGGTCTCCTTCCCAAAGGGTCTCCCCTGGGCTCCCAAAGTCAGGTATCTCCATTCCCCCACCCTGTCCCGCCGCTGCCCCATGTGCTGGAACAGAATCCCCTTCCTGTGCCCACGAAAGAAGGTGGGTGGCAGAAGGAATGGTGGAAATGTAGCCAGAAGCCATTGAAGCGGCTGGGTGAACGAGGAAAGCCACTTTTTAATAAGGTTTGCCCCTGTAAAATCTCTCCCGAAACGGGGTGGGGGGGGGAGAGAAAGAAAGAAAATCCACAAAAAGACTCCGGAAACAGCATCACATGTCACTCCTGTAGTAGTTTTCTACGTGATATGTTTTTTAAAAGATGAAACTAACATCAAATAATAATAGCAACGCCAATATAAATACAGATAAGGCATCCTACACAGCTCGATTCCTAAAAATACTAGGAGAAATTGACTCTGTTCTGATCCCGGTTCATACGGCTCTCAGAAACACTCTCTCCAGAGGATGCTCCGAGGGGTGGCCCAAAAACGTTACTTTTGCACATTCGGAGGAGAATGGAGGGTGTCTGTCCAGGGCCTGTTGATACAGAGACTAGATCCGCTCAGGGAGACGAGTCTTGTGAATGGAGATCCGGGTTCTCGGCGGTTGCTGCTCTCTGGTCTCGCTGGTTTCCCCTCCCTTCTCAACACCCGAGTCTTGAGAGCCATCTCTCTGCCGTCCACAACAGGGACGGTTTCTTTGCTCACCCTGAAAAGGCAGCGATGGGAGTCCCAGTTCTGACGGTGTGTCTGTTGTCCATCTTCTGGGTGTTGGGGGGTCTGACTCTTCTCTTTTCCCACCAGAGTCCTGGCAGGGTTGGAGCCGGTTTGTGGCTTTGGGTTTCCCGTTGCTGACCTCCTGGTGTTCCTTTTGCCTCCAGTCACTGGGCTTAGGCGTCTCGCGACCTCTTCCCGGGGTCCTTTCAGTTGTCCAGTAACCCCCGTCCAGGGGTCTTCTTGGTAGATTTCTCCCGGTTGCCTGGGGGCTCTGGGTCTTCTCGGGAGGGGGGGGTCTGCCTCTTGTTTGGTAACCTTCCTGGGATTCCTCTAAGGCCGTTTGAAAAAAGTTGGTGTGGGCTGGCCAGTCCTCATGTGTACCTTTCGTTTCTGGATAATAAAAAAATAAAATCAAGACTGATGCGTAGTAGAAATGAAACGGAGAAGGCAGCGGGGTCAACTCCAAGCCAGGGTTGCAATCCTCAGTTTAAAGACGTCTATTTTTCTAGACGGAAGGGCCCGGGTTTGCGGCTGTGTTTGAGTGATGGCATTTGAAACCTTGCATGATGTTTGTACGCATGGCCCACAAACCGATGTTAAGACTCAAGCTTTCCCACGTCCGCTTGTGACCTTTCTGAGTGCAAACTGGCTGGAGGAGGCAGAACACTCTCTCCTGAGCCGCCTGGTTATCAAGAGGGTTTTTCTTTTCTCCCCGCGATGCGCCGTCTGTTTCTTCCCATTTATTTCCTCTCTCTTTTCTGCCGCTTCCTCCCCCCACCCCCCACCCGGACGCTCTGCTTGTCTTCCAGACAGAAGGACATTGAACATTTCCTGGAGACGAGCAGGAACAAATTCATCGGATTCACGCTTGGCCAGTGAGTATGGATGTGGGCTTGTAGAGGAGGCTAATTCTCCGCTGGGGGGCAGGTTTTGGCTTCTTAAATGGAGGCTGTGGCTTTGATTCAGTCCCTGGATTGGCAGCAGCTCGAACAGAACCCTGACCCGTGTGTCTCGGGGGGGGGGCTGCTTTGTGTGTCCCATAATACGGTGACACACGCACGTGTGAAGGATGGAAGTGTGGTTTTGTGCATTTCCGCGGAAGCATTTTTTTGGGGGAAGGGCTTCTTGGTGTTTTTTTTAAATGGAAGGCGACCTCTCCCCCCACTGGCCACATACCAAGCATGTTGTACTACAGTTCCCATCATTCCTATTACCACTGGATTTTCTTGGGCTGATGGGTGTGGTGGTGCAAGACAGCTGGGAGAGGCTGACCTTAAGCAATCTTGGGCCTGCTTTTGCAAGACATATTCTGGGGCATTCAGAGCAAACACAATCGGACTGTGGCATCCGTGGGGGATCGGTTCCGACCCAACCACGGAGTCTGAAAAATGTGGAAGGATCGAACGCTATACATTGCATGGTCTCTGGGGGTGTGTTTGTTGTGTTACTTAGTATTTTCAACCAGCGGGATCCGTGGGGGATCGGTTCCGACCAAGCCATGGATTCTGAAAAATGTGGAAGGATCGAATGCTATACATTCAATGGTCTCTGGGGGTGTGTTGTTGTGTTACTTAGTATTTTCAACCAGCGGATAAGTGAATTGGCAAATCCTGATCCTGTGGATAGAGGGTCCTTCTGTATTAAAACAGAGCCCACATAGTAGTTCAATTATTTTGTATGAGAGCATGCTAGGTGAAAACAAAATAAAAACAAAAAGTTTAAAAAAAGAGAGACAAAAATGTGTTGGCCCCTTAAGGACTGTTACTTTTTTTTAATGTGAGCTTTCATGGAAAAATCCACTTCATCAGACCTCAGAGCAAGAGGTAGAACATGGCTGATATTTAGACATGGCGTCAAGGTTGTGACGGGCTGGTAAGAAATCCAGTGGGTGTAAAACAACTGAGATGATCGTCTGTCTTCACTAGAAGCTTGTGCTGTAAAGAATGTGAGAGTCTCTGTTGGAGATGAACCATGGCAAGATAATAATGGTAGAGTAACGTGAATGGGCTATTTGCAGTCGATGATGGACTTTTCCCCTGGAGAGACTGCCCTGTTGTCGATGGTGTCCACTGGCTTCATCTCTAGATCTCTCTCATCCTTTTTTAAAGATGTGGATGCCTCCCTCTCTTTGGAAGCTGAATGCCAATCTGGATGTGGGAGGCTGGCCTTTACTTCCCAGCTGTGCCCGTAAAGCTGATGCTGCTCTGTCTGAGATATCACTTAACCTTGAAAGCCCTATTAAGTTCTGACTTAACAGCACGTCGTTATCAAGCTCACACTGAAATAAATCTGCCGCGTGTACTTCCCACCTGTGCCGTAAAGCTCATGCCGCTCTGTCTGAGATATCGCTTAACCTTGAAAGCCCTATTAAGTTCTGGCTTAACAGCACATCGTTATCTAATGGACTAGAACAAAAATAAAGACGTTTGTAGAACTGGATTCTAATCCATGAAAGCTCACACTGAAATAAATCTGCCGCGTGTCTTTTGCCTGTACTATTGTTAAAAACCTGTGCCGTAAAGCTCATGCCGCTCTGTCTGAGATATCGCTTAACCTTGAAAGCCCTATTAAGTTCTGGCTTAACAGCACATCGTTATCTAATGGACTAGAACAAAAATAAAGACGTTTGTAGAACTGGATTCTAATCCATGAAAGCTCACACTGAAATAAATCTGCCGCGTGTCTTTTGCCTGTACTATTGTTAAAAATGCAGAAACAAACTAATGTGGTTGAAATCCTCTTCATGGAAGTGGTGCTGCCTAAGGCTGATGGAAACCAGGAAATTACACCTTTTCTACTCCTATCCTGAAGCACTCCTCCTGTAGCTACTGTGGAAACCCTTTAATCATTGGGAACTGGTGGGGGCTGTGGGACTTGAGTAGGAAGTCTTTAATTTCCAAAGATGACTTCTAAAATCATCCCAGCAGCAGCAATTTCTGGTAATTAATGACAGTTACCCCCCATCCCACAGTCCCCACAGCACCTAATGAGTTACACAGGAGCTGTGGGTACCTCTGGACTGGAGTAGGAAATGTTTAATTTCCAAAAAAATTGACATCATTAGACCTTAAGCAGCCTAACACACATGAACAGGATTTCAGCCTACCTGTGTTTATTTTGTGTATCCTTTTTTCTGGGCATGTTTATAGGGTAAAGGTAGAAACTGTGAGCTGAGCTAGGGGATATACTTTTTTTCCCAGACTGTAACTGCCAGAATCCCCTGGCTAACATGCTTATGCTGTCTGGAGGATTCTGGGAGTTGTAGTCCAAAAGATTTCAGCCTACCTGTGTTTATTTTGTGTATCCTTTTTTCTGGGCATGTTTATAGGGTAGAGGTAGAAACTTTGAGCTGAGCTAGGGGATATACTTTTTTCCCCAGACTGTAACCACCAGAATCCCCTGGCTAACATGCTCATGCTGTCTGGAGGATTCTGGGAGTCGTAGTCCAAAAACCTCTCCAGGCTTGGAGATGGAGGCAATTAATCCTTTCAAAGCTCAGCTTTCTAGAACCACTATGCCCAAACCAATTGGAGAGGTAGAAACTTTGAGCTGAGCTAGGGGATATACTTTTTTCCCCAGACTGTAACCACCAGAATCCCCTGGCTAACATGCTCATGCTGTCTGGAGGATTCTGGGAGTCGTAGTCCAAAAACCTCTCCAGGCTTGGAGATGGAGGCAATTAATCCTTTCAAAGCTCAGCTTTCTAGAACCACTATGCCCAAACCAATTGGAAATCCAGTTCCATTCAGTTCTTTTCTTTGATGCCTGCAGTTTGACACTTTACCCTCTGCTGCCTCTTGTTCTTTATCCTCTCTTCTCCCCCTCCTTCTTGGCTGGCTTTGTAGGGACACGGACACCTTAGTCGGGCTCCCACGGCCCATCCACGAAAGTGTCAAGACTTTGAAGCAGGTAACCTGGTAGCGATGTCTTAAGAGATGCACCTCACTGGGATTTTTTTGTGGGTTCCCTTCTTGGGAGGCACGGTCTTGTTAAGTTCAAGACTAGGTAGGCTTCTGGGGAGGGGTCTTCAGAGTAGTCCCTCAGTTTCTCAATCACCACAGTCACAGGGGCTGGTGTTCTAAGCCACCTCACAAAATCACTAAGACTCCTTCATATTTGTCTAGATCGGAGAGGTCGGGAACCTCCAGTTGAATCTGGTCCTTCTGGGACCCCAACCATCATGGGGTGGCTTTCCAGATTTTGGGGCCCCCTCACCACCAGGTGGATGGTCTTCTCCTAAGGCCATGGTCCTCAGCTTTGTGTTTCCAGATGTTCTTGCCCTACAACTCCCAGAAGCCTTCACCATCACCTCTGCTGGCCAGGATTTCTGGGAGTTGAAGTCCAAGAACATCTGGAGGCCCAAGGTTGGGGACCACTGCTCTAGAGGTACAGGCAGTGAAAAGCTTCCAGCTAAAATACAGTCGTCTTTGGGGACCCCCTTTTTGCCTTCGGTCAGAGGTTTTGTTACAGGCAGTGAAAAGCTTCCGGCTAAAATACAGTCATCTTTGGGGACCCCCTTTTTGCCTTCGGTCCCACTTGCCCCTAGAAGGTGTTTGTTGCCGGGCAGCGCTCTGAGTTGAGGTGCTCTGGTGGGAGGCGAAGCTTTCTGCTGCTCTTCCTCTCACCCGCTGTCAGGGTAGCAACAACAAGTAAGGTGCATGACGTTACAGGCAGTGAAAAGCTTCCGGCTAAAATACAGTCATCTTTGGGGACCCCCTTTTTGCCTTCGGTCCCACTTGCCCCTAGAAGGTGTTTGTTGCCGGGCAGCGCTCTGAGTTGAGGTGCTCTGGTGGGAGGCGAAGCTTTCTGCTGCTCTTCCTCTCACCCGCTGTCAGGGTAGCAACAACAAGTAAGGTGCATGACTTCCAAAAATGTTTAGGGTGCCCCCTCCCCAAGGTCACAGCAGGGCTCGTGGAGGCGCTCCCTGGACCGACACATCTTTTCCAAGTGCCCGATGTGCGGACAGACTGATTTTCATCCCCGCTTTTTGCTCTCTCTCGTCTTGTCCTCAGCACAAATACATCTCCATCTCGGAAGTGCAGATCAAGAATGAGGAGGAGATGGAGAAATGTCCCATGTCCTTGGTAAGTGTTTTCCCCGCACACATGCCTCTCTACTAAATCTCGTCTGTGTGCAGGTGAAAGGGTAGAAATAAAGAGTCCGTATTATGGGAGTAACAGTCCAGAGAAGACATGCAGGCCAGCTTTGGAGGGTGTAGCCCAGCGTTGTCTGTTGCAATTTTGACAGCTTTCTCTGGATCAGGGAAGAATGATTTCTGCCCCTCTTATAGGAAACTGTTTAGCCGGAGGTGAGGAGAATGGAGCCCTGGACCTTCTGTAATGCAGGGCACCAGCTTGGCCGAGGAGTTCTTCGATGTCCCTTTAAGGCGATGCCTCCCTCGTGTGGCCCATGGGACTGTCAGGGACTAGATCCTGTGGCCGTCAGACTAAGGATCTGAGGGTCTGGTGGCTGAGATCTCCAGGCACCGAGCGGCGCTCTCCTTCGCAAGAGAGGAGATTCACGGTCTCTCGTTTGAAGAAACTGTGGGTCACGATCCACATTCAGGGGCCGCCGGGCTTCCCGCTTGCAGACTCCCATGTCTGGGTGGGATCGGCACGAACAGAGCTGTCCTCTTTTGCAAAACGGGAACCGCCGCACAGAGGCCGAGGGGCCACAGCCCCATCTGCAGTTTCTGGCTTGCACACTTCGTTTTCATTTTGTGGATGTGTGTGTGTGTGTGTGTGTGTGTGTGTGTGTGTGTTATCTGTAGACAACTACATACCTCTTTGCCCCTCTCTTGTGTGTGTGTGTGTGTGTGTGTGTGTGTTATCTGTAGACAACTACATACCTCTTTGCCCCTCTCTTGTGTGTGTGTGTGTGTGTGTGTGTGTGTTATCTGTAGACAACTACATACCTCTTTGCCCCTGTAGACATCTATATACGTCTTTGTCGCTCTCTTGTGTGTGTGTGTGTGTGTGTTATCTGTAGACAACTACATACCTCTTTGCCCCTCTCTTGTGTGTGTGTGTGTGTGTGTGTGTGTGTTATCTGTAGACAACTACATACCTCTTTGCCCCTCTCTTTTCTCTCCGGCCGGTCACCTACCAGGGGGAAGAGGAGGTGCAGGAGACACCCTGTGAAATGCTTTATCGGGTGATGCTCTACAACCTGCCACAGTACATGGTGAGTCGGGCGTATCCGTGAGGCAGACAAGTTAGGAGAGCCTTGGGGTTATTCCATTTCTGGACTTTTCGTGTGTGTCAATCACGTCGACTCTGACTCCTGGCGACCCGATGAATGAACCATCTCCAAAATGGCTTTTTCCCTAGCAGCCCTCCTCAGCTCTTGCAAACCCAAGCCTGTGGCTTCCTTTAGCGAGTTGGTCCGTCTTGTATTATTGGGCCTTCCTCTTTTCCTGCTGCCTAACTCGTATTATTGGGCCTTCCTCTTTTCCTGCTCCCCTTCCCCCTTTCCCAGCATGATGGTCTTTCCCAGAGAATCCTGCCTTCTCAGGAGCTTCCCAAAGTAGGACAAGCCTCAGCTTCAAGATATTTTTTTTGCCTCCAGAGATAATTCGGGCTTGACGTTTGGTCTAGGACCTACTTTTTCATCGTTCTGGCAGCCAGCCATGGAGAGCCTGGATTTTTTTTAAGTCTAGAAAAGGAGTTTTTTCCAAGCTCTGAGGTTGTGTTGTTATTCTTTTAAAGGGAACTTTCAAGAGCTCTCATGATGTCTGATGGTGTGATTTCGCCCCTCTACGATCTGTTGAAATAGGCACAATACACACAAGGAGATCAAGGAAGAGGGAGAAAGGCTCAGATGCTATGCAAGGGGAAAACGCCTAGAAAGGGTATCTCTTGAGATGCTGGCCAGTTTCTCTCGCTCCAGATCTTCTTGGGAAGAGAAAAGGGGAAGGAGAGAGCTGTTTCCATTTAAACCTTGCGTCTATAGAAACGTCATCAATTTAGTTCACTAGATTCTGTTTAATTCAAGTGGATAGGGAAGCAGGCTGACTCAGGATGCTGTCAAGACAGCTATTCCCTTTTGGGCGAATAAAATCGTAGGTGGAAAGACGGGACCGGGAAGATCTCTGGAGAGATGATCAAGGCGGCTTGCATGCCTCTTCTCTCACTTCCTCCTCGCGACAACCCTGTGAAGTAGAACGGGCTAAGCAAATACCAGTAACCCAAGATGGCCCACAAAGTTGTCTACGGTCAAGTGGGGAATTTGAACCAACGTCTCCCAAGTCCTTGACCAGCCCTCTTTAGCCCCTGTGGCCAAACGGCTGGATTCCCCCAGGAGTCTAATGTTGACTTGTGTGTATGTTTTTTTGGGGGAATTTCCCCTTTCTTTCTCTTTGCTGCAGATCGCCCTGCTGAAGATCTTGCTGGCTGCAGCGCCCACCTCGAAAGCCAAGACCGACTCCATCAATATCCTGGCCGATGTGTTGCCGGAGGAAATGCCGTAAGTCCCCCGACCGGGCCGGCTCTTGGCTGCTTTTCACCCATGGGAGAACATGCAGTCCCTCCGCTCCTGAGGGTCCGGCCTTGGGTGGGTGGGGGGCTCCTCCCTGGCTTCTTCTTTTCTCAGGGGCCTGACATTTCTGGAACAGAAATTTGGGACCTTTGCCCAGGGCTGCAACGAGGGTGGGGGGGCAATGGGGGCTTTGATCCAGGGAATGGGGATGGAAAGGTTCCGTGAATCTAGGAGATTCCCCCTGGCAGCAGCAGGGGGAACTCTCATGCGCAGGGGTCACCATGGAGTTTGGAAATTTGCCTTTCTGGACTACGAACCCCAGTTTCAGATATGGCCAGAGATGACGGGCGCTGAGCGGAGTGGTGTGTCCGTACCTGGAAGGCCAGACGTTCTGGTGTCGAAAAAGTGGACTGAAAAGGAGGTTTTGCTTGTTCTCTCATCATAAGAGAAAGTGGGCGGTGGGTGGGAGTTCACTGAATGATGTTGCCGGATTCAGGGGAGGTAGGAAAGAATGTGGGGCTCGAAGAAAGGGTTTGTTGTTCCCCTGCATGGCCAGAAGGACAAACAAGGGCCCCCGAGATCAGATGAAGCCTGAATGATCTATGGAAGCCAAAATATTGAAATTTGAGGCTCTCCGACATCACAAGAAGTCAGGATTCCCTGGAAGAGACCATCACGCTGGGAAAGGTGGCAGACAACACGAAAAGAGGAAGACTGGATACGAGAGCCATGGGTTTGAGCTTTTCTGGATCACAAGGTCCAGAATCCCCTAGCCCACGTTAGTTGGGAGATTCTGGGGCCTGTCATTCAAAAATGTAGGTTTTCAGAGCTCTGGATTAATAAGGAAGGCAGATGTGTTAGAGGAATCCTCCATGCTCAAAGCCAATGTCCCTCGACGAAGTCACGACCGGGCCTTTGAAAGACCAGACGTGCCACTGCAGAAGCAGAACGCTAGGCTACTGGGGGAATCTGGGTTCTCTGATCCACAGGACCCTCTTTGAAACCCTTTTCTCCTCTGGGTGTGTAGCATCACAGTCTTGCAGAGCATGAAGCTTGGGGTGGACGTGAACCGGCACAAAGAGGTAATCGTCAAAGCCATCTCTGCCTCGCTGCTCCTGCTGCTGAAGCATTTCAAGTTGAACCACATCTACCAGGTGAGCTGACGCCGGGGGACCCTAAAGGGATGATGGACGGGTAGCTTTGTTAGTGTCTTAATTCCCTGTCGCATTTTGGGGTTCCTTGATCTTAAAGAACTCCTCTGTTGTTCTGGAGCAGCGGTTCTCCAAAGCTGGGGTCTGCCAGATGTTCTTGGACTATGACTCCCAGAAATCCTGGCCAGTACAGCGAGGGGGTGAAGACTCCTGGGAGTTTTAGTCCAAGAAGATCTGGGGACCTCAGGTTGGGAACCCCTGCACTTTAGCTGTGATACTGAGGCCCTGAAGAGCTGGGCTTATTGCTGAAAATCTACTCTCTGTGTCAGAAGTCAGAATTGGCATGATGATGACTGAAGAAAGAGTCTGGATCAAGGGAAAAAAAATATTCCACATTTCCTCGCATAATACGGCCCCTTCTTTCCAGACTCAGCCGAAGGTATCTTATTTCCGCATGTCTAGATGATGATTAATTCATTCATCATTAATTATTGACGTGGATGGGCTGCGACGGAAAGACAGACCAAGCGGCCGTCAGCTCCTCTGTTCAAAAGAATAGTCGTGCAGCAACACAAATAAAGCTGCATCGTCTGGCATCTCTAACCGATTCATTTCCCTGTGATTGTAAGCCCCTTCTTCAGATAACAAGCCCTCCAGCCACTGGGTGGGAGGATCTCATTGGCCTTCCAGGGGTGATAGCATCAAGTGTTTTCGCTTCCCAGAGGGCTTGGAGAATGTATCAGCCCTTGCTGTCTCTTGTGACCTGGTCTACCCAGGTGGGACTGGGCAAGATGGACGGATAGCTCCGGGGTTTAGATCTCTGGCTGCGGACTCAGAGGTTGGGGAGTTCAAATCCCCCGTCGGCCTTCCTTGATAAGGGCTGGATGATCCATAGGGTCCTTTCCAACTCTGCAGTTCTAAAATTATTATTGGGAACTCAGTCTCACTTCTACACGGTGCGGCGCTGGTTGAATCCAAAGGAGCTTCTTCAGCCCATGGCGTGCCACGTCTGAATTCAGAATAGGTGCTTCCCTTTCTTTTGGACGACAGCTCTAGCGAGATAGGAGCTTAGTCCAAGAAAGAAGCTGCTCCGAGCCATGCTGCCATATGGCAGTGTCAGGAAGGATCAGAAATTCACAGCCGGAACCCGTCGGAAGAGACTGTTCTGTCGCTCCCTGTCCGGAAGAACTGTCGGCTTCGGTCCCCCCAACCCCTTCCTGGCTTCACCATTTGGCTTCTCTTCTCTCCCCAGTTTGAGTACGTCTCTCAGCATTTAGTGTTTGCCAACTGCATCCCACTCATCCTGAAGTTTTTCAACCAGAATATCATGTCCTACATAACTGCCAAAAACAGGTACGGTCTGCTGGTCCACATTCATCTTCCTGGAAAAAATGCAGAAACACTTTTTTAAAGCTTGATGCTTTGATGTTGAGTTGCCCAACGGCCGTGCCCTGACCCCCCTGTTTTCCTTTGTTCTCCCTGCCAGCCTGTCTGCCCTGGATTATCCCTTCTGCACAGTCCATGAGCTCCCAGAACTCAATGCTGAAAGCCTGGTGAGTGGAGTAACAACCACACTTTACTTCCCAGAGTTAGCTGTGCCCTGGAGCAAAACATAGCGTTGTCACCTCCGTTCCTGCCTGCAAAATGGGTTTAGCAAATGGGATGGTTGGTCGAATCAGCATTCCGAGAACTGGCCGGATTGTGAAACGCTTCCTTGCCATTCCTAATAGGTGGTGGGAACAAACAATGTATTTGGGGCAAAGTGGTTTTTGGGGTTTCCTGCCTCTTTGTCCCATGGATGGCCGAAAGGAGGAAAACTGTCAGAGAGAAGTAGAAAAGGTGTCCGGGAGATGAGGAGGAAAATAAAACTCTAGCCTCTCTGAGCCAAGTGAGATTAATGGGATAGACCAGTGGAATAAAAAAGCTGACCTTTTGAAAACACACACTCGCACGTCTAACGTTTTAAGGAGATCTTTGGGGCTCCTTGCTTACTATGGATGAATCTTGTAAACACAATTTCGCAAAATGAATCTCTTCTAATTTGCATTTTATATAATGGACAACACGGGCAGTTAACAATGCTACAGTTTGTGCATAAGGAGTCTCGTGGCGCCGCGGTTAAACTGCGGCCGAGACTCTGCTCACAATCCAGGTTCAATCCCAAGTAGCCATCTTGAGGTTCACTTGGCCTTCCATCCTTCTGAGGTTGGTAGAGTACCAGCCTGCCTAATTCACTTGTAAACCACCCAGAGGCTGCTTTTAGCACCAGGGAGCAGTATATAAGCAGCCCACTTTGCTTTTTCCTTTTTTGCACCCAAGTCCTACGTCCTCCTAAGTCCTCCTGCACCAGTGCAGAAGTGGGTGGTAGGATTTGCAGAGTTGAAATGTCCCTTTGGTTCCCAAGTTGGACAAAAAAAACCCAAGATATCTTCCTCAACTGGGTTGCGTATCCGTAACACAAGAGAATCTTCAAACCCCTAAAAGAACCTATCGATATAATAGTGTGCAATTCACGAATTGACAATGTGGATTTGCCCCACCAACACAAACTTGCATCTGAGAGGGAAGCGTCCAATGAATTCCATCTTGCCATGAATGTTTGAACATTAAGTTCTTCACATTGGTAACCAACTTGATGATGTTCTGTTTCTTTTCTTTTTTTATCCACCAAACTTTTTGTCTAGTAGGATGACTTTTTTAGTAATCTGTGATGGTTATTGCCTATTTTTTTGTGTCAAGCAACAGTGTCCTCTAGTGGAGGCTTGTGCCAATTAATGCTGATTAATTATTTCTCTGCGCAAGAATAGCATTTAAGGTCAAGGCTCCCATGTTGTTTGTTTGTTTGTTTGTCTTAAAGTGGCGGCGGACCTTTTCCTGAAAGAGGATGGGGCTGTGGTATTCAAGGGGGGTGTTAGGAAAGGGACCTATCCATTCCTGCTTCACCTATTTTTAACCGTTTCTCCCTCCTGGCAGGAGAGGGTGGAGAAAGGGATGCATCTCTGCTCCCTGGGGGACTTGTCGCGGCTCAGAGGTGGGCATCCCAATTGGGGAAATGTCTGGGCTCTGGCAGCAGGAGGATGAATTATATCCTGCCCCCACAGCCGCCTACATCACAGGACCACAAAAAGAATTCTAGGAAAAGAAATTTAAAAAAAAGAAAGAAAAGGTGGCATTTTCAGACTTGGCTCGGATTGCTGGGAGTTCGGGAGGCGTTCGTGAAGAATCAGAGCGGGCTGGAACAATGCGTTAACCCAACAGAAACAGAGAC